AATCCAAAAATTCATTTGGAATCAGAAGAGACTTAGAATAGCAAAAACAATTCTAAGCAAGAGAGACATGGCAGGGGCTATCACAATCCCCAACTTGAAACTATACTACAAAACTACTGTGAATAAACAGCAAGGTACTGGCAAAGAAACAGACTTGAGGATCAGTGGTGTAGATTAGAAGATACAGAAACAACTCCAGACATACTCAGCCACCTCATTTTTGACAAAGGAGCCAACCACCATCATTGGAGGAAAGATAGCTTATTTAATAAATGGTGTTTGAAAAACTGGATTTTCCTGCCAAAGATTAAAACTAGACCCGTATCTATCACCATGCACTAAACTAAGATCAAAGTTGATTGAAGATCTAAATATTAAAACAGAAACATGAAATTTGCTGGAAGATAAGTTAGCTAGAACTCTTGAACACATTGGCATACAAAAACAGTTTATGAACAAAACCTCAGTAGCATGGGAACTAGCACAAAGAATCAACAACTGGTATCACCTCTTATTAAAAAGCTTCTTTCTGCACTGCAAGAGAAACTACCAACAGAGATAACCTACAATGTGGGAAAAAAGTTTTAGCAGCTGTACTTCACAAAGGACTACCATCTAGAATATATAAAGAACTGAAAAAAATCAGATCCCCCAAATTTAAAGATCCAATTCAAAAATTGTCATAGGAAATGAACAGACATGTCTCAGACAAAGAAATAAAAGCAGCAAATAAATATATGAAAAAATGTTCAACATCACTGATCATTCAAGACATGCAAATGAAAACAACACTGATATTCCACCTCACTCCAGAAAAAATGGCTGCTATCAAGAAACCAACCAATAACAAATGCAGGTGGGGGGGTGGGGAAAGGAACCCTTCTCCATTGTTGGTGGGAGTGCAGACTGGTGCAACCACTGTGGAAATCAGTATGGAGATACTAGGACTAGAGGTCCCATTTGACCCAGGTATTCCCCTACCGGATATCTTCACAAAAGAATTAAAAGAATCATACCACAGTGATATATGTGCACCCATGTTTATAGTGGCACAGTTTGTAATACCTAAACCTTGGAAACAGCCCAAGTGCCCATCAACTGGAAACTGGACAAGGAAGATGTGTTTTTTATAAAATGGACTACTACTCAGCCATAAAGAACAAGAAACTATAGACATTTATAACTAAGTGGATGCATATTGAGGCCATACTTTTAAGTGAAATGAATAGGACACACATGTGTAAAATACCAAATAGATTTTGTGGTGTGAGAAATTGAAAGTGTAAATAAGGATTAAAATGATTAAAACCAATAATTCATAATTTGAAATAGGAATAAAAGGTCCAGAAGTGGTAGAGGAAGTAGGAGGGGAAGGGGAAAGGAAAGATGGGAAAGAAAAAATTATGGGAAAAGGAAGAAAATGAAAAAAAGTCTTTGTAAACAGTGGAGGGTTGAGGGGGTGAAGGGAGCACAGGGAATGGGGAAAAAATAAGAACCAAGACACATCATGTCCAAGTACCCAATAATATATGTAAACCTATTGTATACCTGAAATGTACCAATAAAAGAATTTAAGCTAAACAGAAAACTAACTTTAAACACTTCATTATTAATATGAGAAAAGCATCAGATGAATTTATATCTAAAACCACATTAAAATTACAACTCAATGTATACCAAAATATCAAGGACTAAAGGTGAGATTTAAAAAATTTGCATAGAAATTTGGCATACTGTCATTGGTAAATAGGACAAGGGAGAACTTTAGTTTCTAAAATTCTAATATATTTGGTTAAACCATAGTGCAAAGCACTTGATTTATTACACAATGCTAAAATTCTATCAGGAGATGGGAATCTTAAGATGCCATAATAACTTGTTCCTATTGAGTTGTTATCAAATCTTATATTATTGCTCTTCCACTGTTGCAGCTCACAATGTCCTCTGACTCAGTTTATCATTTAGTATTAAGTCCACTTCATGCATTTCACTCAAAGGCTTAAATTAGCTTCTATGTTCCAAAGTTACAAATGTTCCTTTGACTCTGTAAAATAATGTCTATTTAGTTGTTTCTTTGATTGGTTTTCCCTAATTCATCTATCCAAAGTTACAGTATCAGACAATAATTTTTCTGCTCTATCAATCCCCTTTCCACTCTTCCTATTTCACTTTCCCAAATCCTGAGTAACCACTGATAATTTTAACCAACTTTTGTTTGCATTTCTTATGATGTGATATAGTTGGAAATATGTCAGAGCAGCTTATTAGTATAACTACTTTGTAGAAGACTTTGGCAGTGAGAGTTAAATTTTATATACACATGCCTTTTAACAGAGTAACAATTTGGTGATACAATTTACAAAATTATGCATTGTAAATTCTCACTGAATCAAATTCTGCAGGCCAAAGAGAAAGAAAGAAAATCAAAGAAAAAGAAAATATTAAAATGTGCATGACAATAAAGCAAATAAGTTTGCTAAACTCTCACAGCAGAATTCAAAAATATGTATATAAATTTTACAAGGGCGAAAACAGATTACAAAAACTCAAACAGAATATACATAGCTTTACTTCATTTATATGTAAGTCTAACCAAGGAAATGGAAGATTACTGCAAAAGTATGAACATTCAATAAAAAGCAAATATTTCAAACAGTGAGGACATGGTGTCCCCTCAGGAGGAAAAGATAAAATTGAGGAGGAACTGAAGGGGTTTTGACTACATTGTTAGTTTTCTATCATTTAGCCCATAAATTGTAAAGTATTTCTTTAAATATTTTTATTTAAAATAGGATCACATGTCACTTATAGGGGCATACACATAAGTAAGCAGAATACAACATTACATAAACATAACTATCTTTATGTGAAATATTTCATGTTGTTTGCAGTATTTTAAGTCTTATAAAGATGAAAGTAAAATTTCCACTGAAATGGCTAAATATATTGTTGAAGTTTGAAAAACATTGAAGACCTTTAAGCATAAGTCTCAAGATTTGACCTCAAGCACACAGAAACTTTCCACTTCCACAAATATTGCCACCTTAATCACATATGACTAGTTACTGAATTCTTAAATTAGACTTTCCACCTTTAACAAGTACTAGAGATAAAGGAAATAATGTGCAAATATCTCTCACTGTAATCAGCTATACCAATGTAGTTAAGTAGCCTTGCTTTAAGCAGAGTCCCAAGGACTAAAGATGAAACTTTACCATTTCAAACATATGATACTGCTTTTATGTAGTTTAGTAGAGAAATACTTTTTTCATTTTAAAATTAGTATACTTCATACACTGAAATCTTGCTTGAACTCAGTTCTGTTGCCTAATACCCTGCCACCTTGGCTAACCTGCTGCCACCCTTCTTGGCCATTCATTAGCCCATACCCAGCAAAGCTGAATCTCCTTCTCAGAGTGGACCAGTCAATCACCCACACTCATATCACCATATGAAAGTCCATGAAATATCTACCATCTCTATGTGTGCTACCCAGGTGACCTTACTAGGACATACAGAGCTTCAATGAAACGTCGAGTAACCAAGTGGGATACGTATTTGTTCTATCTGGATAAAGCCATCTCATCTGAGTTTCTGAAAAAAACTTACTCTCTTTGAGACAGAAAAAAAAATAGTTATGTGCTAATTTCCATTACTCTGAGAATAGAACTAAAAGTAAAATAGGGCAATGATCAAAAAAATACAAATAGCTAAGGATAAATGAGAAGAAAGACAGATGGAAAAGGGTTGGTCAATTGGTACAAAATAGTTTAAACAGCAGAAATAAATTTTGGTATAAATTTGGTACAGTAGGGTGAATATAGATACTAATGTATTGTATACTTGAAGAAGGTTAGAATAAAAGCTTTTGATTTTGCAAAAAAGAAATGGTAAATGTTTGAGGAAATAAATATGTTCCCTTCATTTAACATTACACAATGAATAAATGTATCAAAAATCACATGGTACATTATGAATATTTACAATTTTTACTTGTAATTTAAAATAAACAACTCACAAACAAAAATCAAATTATATTTCTTATTCATGTTACTAAGAAAAATAAATTCACAATATATTTTAAAGTAAAATCATTTGCCTAACAGAACAAAAATTTTGTTATGTTGAACCAGGCAAAAAACATTTGCCACAAAAGACTACATGTCATCCCATTAAAAAGAATAACAGCTGTGACTACATAAAACTTTAAAGCTTTTCTAGAAGAAAGAAAACATGTGAAAAACAGAAATATAGGAAAAGATAATATTTTAGGTATGCTTGTAAGAAGCTTTCCCAATACTCTTAAAATCAACAGCACAACCAGAAAAACTATGTCTAACATGGAACACAGGTGTAAAAAAGAATGTTCTATCAATAGTCACCAAGAAATAACAATTCAAAGAAAGGATCCAATGTGTCTTTGGGAATTTCTCATATTCAGACAATGGGAAATACAATGCTTATCACACTGACAAACTTCTTCTATTGAGCAGATTTCTGAGAGCTCCTTTCATATCCCGATTCCTCAGACTGTAGATAAAGGGATTCAGCATGGGTGTGACCACATTGTACAACACAGTGACAATGATATTTTTGTCATTAGTGTTATTGGAGGAGGGAAAAAAGAAGATCCCAATAATTGCTCCATAGTAGAGAGTGACTACAGCGAGATGAGAACCACATGTGGACAAGGCTTTCCAGATTCCAGTAATGGATGGAGCTTTCAGGATGGTGGCCCCTATGCAGCCGTAAGATACCAGAATGCACATGAATGGCAGAGTAACAACCATTGATCCAACAATGAGAATGACCAGGTCATTGATGGTGGTGTCTGAGTTGGACAACTTAAGTAAGGAAGGGAGCTCACAGAAAAAGTGATGGAGAGTGTTCTCTCTAGAGAAAGAAAGACAGGCGAGAAGGAGAGTGTGGACAAGGGAAGCAGCAGAGGATAGGACCCAGGACAAAATTACTAGCAGGACACAGAGGATATGACTCATGATGACGTTGTAGTGGAGGGGATGACAGATGGCCACATACCTGTCATAAGCCATTGAAGTGAGAAGGAAGCTATCAACACCACCAAATAAGAAGAAAAAGAATTCCTGTGAAATGCACCCTGCATAAGAGATGGATTGACTATGAGTCAGCATATTCATGAGCATCTTTGGAGCTGTGACTGATGAGAAAGAAATGTCAGAGAGAGCCAAGTGGCTGAGGAAAAAGTACATGGGGGTGTGGAGGCAGGAGTCCAGCCTGATGAGCAGGATGATGAGCAGGTTCCCCAGTACTGTGGTCAGGTACAGGACCAGGAACAGCACATAGTACATGCCTTGCTCTTCCTTCCTGATAGGGAGCCCCAAGAGGATGAATTCAGACACACTGCTCTGATTATCATTCCTCATGCTCTTTCTTCTCTATTATGCTGAAGATGCAGAAAGGAAATAGACCTGTGAAAAATGAGAAGCCATTGTGACTATTACATGATAAAAATATGGTTTTTATTTTTAAACAAATCAGTGTTTGCAAATTTTAATCTGTATATATCAGGCTTTTTTCCATACGTGGGCTAGTAATGATTTAGACAAAGGACATTATTTGTCCACCTGAAAATCAACTCAACATTCTTCGAAGAAACACAAAATCTATGAATGATGATCAGTTCAGAAATAGTTTTAACATGAAAATTCCCAGAGAGTGTGACAAAAATCTGAGATTATGGTTTCAACACAAGGACAGGTCAGTACCAATTAATAAAAAACCAATAGATGATCTCTAAAGGTTTATTGACCTCTCAACTTTCCTCATGTCTCTGAAGTACTCTTTTGCTAACACATTATTTCCAATGATTAGATCACAGTAAAAGAATCCAGTGGGTTGGCTGCTTTGGGCCTGTAAGATGTGAAGATTTGGGGAAAATATATGCAGTGGGTTGAAGTACTTTGAGAGCATGAATGTGTGTCATAACATAAAATATCTTTGCACATATTTTGTAGTTCGGCCACTGGCTCTTCCTTTAAAAAATGTTTTCACAATTCACATTTTCAGTGTTTCATTACCCATTTTATAGGAATTTTCATGGAATATAAAGTAAAAGTCTGTTTTTATTTTTATTTCCCATCCCCACCTTATTCTTGCCCCAAATCCATCTAAATCATTCCTACTGAAAATGTGAGAAAACGGGAATAGCTGGCTTTTCTGGTCACGTTTCGGATCTGACAAATAAGAGACTGTAAACATCTGAGTAGAACCAACAAACAATACTTTCTCCTTTCTTATGTTTCCTATCCTAGGTTTCAGGCAAAGTTTTTTTTTGTGTGTGTGTGTTTTTTGTTTTGTTTTGTTTTTTTGAGACAGGATCTCATTTTGTAGTCCAGGATGGCCTTGAACTTGTGGCAATCCCCCATACCTTAGCCTCCTGAGTGCTAGGATTACAGATATGCACCACTACTCCCAGCAGGTTCTGGTAAAGATTTTTAACTGCAGTGGTACTAGTCATTATTCTAACATTCTTTTTTTCTCCATTAACTTTATTAGTACATTTTAGGTATACAATACAGTTACATTC